CGCAGTACTGGCACCAATCGATGTGGTCAGCGAGCCTTGCCGAAGAGTTCAAATTGGCTGGTGGCGACATAGCATACGGCCAGACGGTGATGGCCAGCTATGAAGGATGTCCTCCCCAGGTCGCGGTCCAGGTCTCGTTCAGCGAGCGTGACACTCCTGGCCTTCGCCGCCTCGCTCAGATCTCAGATCAGGGCCTGCAGCTGATCAAGCCAGAGTCACACAAGGGCCGGCGCAGAATTCTGGTGGTATGTTCGGATTCCTTCACTGTGTTCCAACGAAGCAACCGTGGCTGGACCGACATAGCAGGCGACCTGGAACAGCTGCGGATTGATGGGACGCTCTCTGCATATGAGCGAGTGATCTACCGCCCCTTATGGGGGAAATCCCTGCCGCACATAGTGAACGAAATCACTAAGGCTGTTCAGGAAACCATTGATGAATTCTCCGGCGCTGGGCAGAGCCAGTTCTTGCGGATCGACATCCAGGCAATCTGGCTCGGCAATGAACTAGTCGGAGAGCGCGGAGTCTTCCTCGAACCAGCTATGCCTCAGTGGAGGGAGAAGCAACTTCCCGCTGGGTACCACGCTGCCCGTGGTGAGTGGTCAGAAATTGCTGACCGCGTCTGCACTTCTCTTAGCTCACTTGCCGCCCTCAAGGGCAGGCCGAGCATTGGAGAATTTGTGGGCGCCATCGCGCTCATCGGGCAGCCCAACCCAGCGAAGTACTTGCTACCCGAAGGATACGGAGACTGCATGGACACGTTCTTCGAATTCGCGGAGCAGCTCGGGATGCACACGGCGAGTGTGGCAGAAGTGATTGCCCCATTCACAATGTGGGATGCGTATCATTTCCGAGATGACAGCTGCAACCGCAAGATCCTCGCTGATTGGCTCGCTTGCGTGGCAAATGTGCTCGCTTGCGAAGACCAAGTCTCCTTCTTGAAAACTGAGGACATTGACCTCATGGCCCGGCGGTTCCCATACCAGCAGCATGGACTGATCCTGAACCAGATGCAGTTCAATGAGACAGTCAACAAGCACATGCAGTCCGCAACCCTTCCAAAGCACCACCCGGAAGAGGTTGAGCTGAATCCATGGGACTACGCCGAGGAAGAGGCCGTGGAGATCACAATCTTGGAAGGGATGCGCTATGTCAAAGC